GAAGGAAGGAAGGAAGGAAGGAAGGAAGGAAGGAAGGAAGGAAGGGTCCAACTGGGATTCCGTGAGTGTTCATGGACCTCCTACTGGCTTTGCATCCACAGGAAGTCCTTCCGGATGCACTTTCCAGGGAAATTTGTTGCTGTTTCACTGTATAGATTATAGGACTTCCTCATCCAGCAGCCATTTCAGCCATAATCTATTGCTCTGATTATTGACTTAATATTTTTCATATTTTAGCATGATGGTATTTATATTGTGATCTTAATCATTTGAGCATTTTAGGATGGCAAACCATCCCAAGCGCTGGCCACCGGAGCAGCCCAGATCCTGTTTTCCCCCTTTTGGGTTGGTATATAAATGTAATAAATAAACAAATTAGCATAAATCTTCATTTAAATGGAAAAGCAGTTATTTAGAAAAGACTACTATATGCTGCATAGATATTCCCTTAGGTTGCTCAGTGAATAATGACAATGATAATGAAACCATTGGTAATCTTGAAGGGACAATAGGTAATTGATTGTACCCTTCCTAGATATCTCCAATCCAGCAGGTCTGAGAGCCTCTCCGTTCGGTTTCTCTGGATGATTCGTTGTCGTCGTGATTGCTGGCAGAATCCATAAAGGAACTGCGTCAGCTGGTTGCAAGACTCATCTGGGGAGCGGAATCTCCTATCCACGATGTAAATACCTGCAGGATAAAAAGCAGGTTTGCTGGAGACAAGGAGATGTAGACACTTTTTGACCTTTAAAGGCTTCTCTTGCAAACTGTCATTGCACACACGAACAATCCGTACAGAATTCCTTCTCTGATAAAGTGGAGATAGTCGTACTTGCTTTAGTCTACCAACATTCTCCTTCTTCTTTTTTTCCAACTAAAGTAAAACTCTGAGAAGTGTTTAGCAGCAGCAGCATCCCTCCAGATGTTTTGGCCAACAACTCTCATGCCCTGGCAGGAAAGCTTCTTGACCAGATGGGTGTGATCTGCTTGCCAGGCAGATAAAGTTATTTTAAATGCAGAAGGGCCATTCCTTAATTTGTCCGGAAGACCCACATAAACTGAAAGGATTAGGCAGAACTGTGTGGCATTTCCTGATCTTTGTTTCTGCTGGAATTTATGCAGAAACTTTTCCAAACTTCCCATACGAGACTCGGGCAAGTCCTCACCAAGTGTTAAGGTACAATTTTCCATGAAACCAAGGGATTTGCGTGTCTCTGGCGAAACAAAGCAGCAGTGACCAGTTTCGGGGCTAAAAGCTCTCACCGTAAGCGGCTGGGTCAGCTACATGTTCCTGCATGAAGCAGCCAAATCCTGAGAGGTTTGTGGTCACACTGGGAATCCCCATGACGGTGCACTCGGCTGCCAAAAAACAAACAAAGAGGGTGCTGGGACCTTGCAAGAGATGTGCAAACCATGCTGGTGCTGGAGACAACCTCTGTCCAGCATCCGGTCCTGCATCAAGACGGACAAGCCACTCAGCTTCACTTTCCATAACACCTACATTTCACCAAGTGCAGGTGGATTCTCCTGAGTTTCTGCATCCATTTGTCAATGGAAATCTATATTTTTGAAATCTGTGTGAACATTCACATGGGTTTTTGGGTCAATTTTTGCTAAGAGATTCATTTTTGCATGGACTTACGAGCATGACTATTACAAGCCTGGTGAATGAGAGGTCCTGCAAGCTCTGGGATGAATCCTATGGAGCCAGTGGTGGTGGTTGTCCTGCCACTGGCCACTGGAGCAGCCCAGATCCTGATGGAAAGTACTGAGCACGGGAACCTTTCCACCCTTGGCGGGAGTCAGGGAGTGGCTGCTGGGCTACCAAGAAGGACCTCTTTTCACATCACCACCCAACACGTCACTCAAGGAACCTAAGGTAGCAGCTCTCCTCCACTGCCAGCATTCAGAAGATATTCTGCCTCTGAAGCTGGAGGCTCTGCTTATCTATCCTATCCAACAACCAGCAATAGGCCCTGAATGGTGGCACTGCTTTTCCAAAGAACCCATCCAAGCTAGACAGCCATGGCCTCATCTGGTCACCACATCCTCCAGAACCCAGTGATGAAATGGATGAAATGCATAAAAGCAAGGAAATCTGTAATCTGCTTACCAGGAGTATAGCCCCAGGGCTCATAGTATGATGGGAAGACACCAAGGTGGCAACCTCTGACGAACTCCTCATAGTCCATGGGTAATAATGGGCTAGTTGAAGAAAGGAATTCGGGGTGCAGTATCACCTGCAGAAAAGGAAGAGGAAGATCTCCTAACCTTTTCCTTTATGCTTCTGAAGGGCTGCTACTGTTCCTCCAGAGTGCAGGAACAGAACCAATGGGTGGAAATCCCATGGAAGAAGACCTTGACCAAGCCTTGGGGAAACCTCCTAAGAGTAAGAGCCACTTGGTAATAGAAGAAGCTTCCTGGGAAGAGGTGGGCACTCTTTGCAGGAGACATGGCAGCCATGGCTGGGAGGCTCTCTGCTTGGGATGCTGTAGTTGCAGGATCTCCAAGGTCCCTCCCATGACCTGATTTCCATGCACGGCTCAGGGTAGAGTAGATCCTGGACATGCATTCTGAAGGACCAGAGCTCAGCATCTCCAGTCAAAGGTTGCGCAGGGAAGAGTGCTAGTGACGCGCCCTTATCTGAATCACTGCGAGTCCCGGTTGCGTGCGGGGCCAAGGCTAACACTAGGCCTGACTGAGCACCTGCCAAGGTCTTCCTCCCCAGGTGGCCCTTTTGACTCGCTCCTCCTCATCACCGTTGCATCCTTCTGGTTCACCTCCCATTTTCTTGCTCTACCAGAGTTGGGGGAACCGCATGTCTTGAGTCGGTCCTCCCCCTCCTTCCTTCTGGGTTCAAAACTCAAGACAATCCTTGGAAGTGCAGTCTTCCAGACTACAGAACTGTATGGATTCTAAGCAGCCTTCTGCCAAAGGCAAGGGAGAAGCACCTGCCCATGTAAAGAGTTGTATCCAAAGTGGAAAACTCCTCCTCCGTCCCTCCCTTTCAGTAAATTTCTGGCTTCACCCTCAGGGTGGCAAAGCCCCTCCAGCCGGGCAGCTCATTTCTCCTGATGTCTCCTTACGGAGTCAAGGCCTGGGTCCCCCAGCTGCCCCCCTCCCCTCCTGAACACCCTTTTGTCCCTACCAAAACAGACCGATTCTCATGCTCTGCCTGGGAAACTTCACCAGGCGACCTGGAAAGCACCCAGTTCTTGTCCCGCTGCTCAGAATCTCCGCAATCAGCGAGAGACGGGCCCGCTCTCTACACAGCAGATGCCCCGACCGCTCGCGCATGGGCTTCCTGCCCCTCCAACAAGCAAGTGGCGGCAAAGATGAACCAGGGGTGAGGAGCAAGATGCTGGGAATGGGCGAGGCGGCTGTTCTTGGTGCACCTTCTGGAGTCTGAGGACTGTGACGGCTGGGAATTGGGGAGTGTGGGAATCAAGGTAGTGGAGGAGGACGAGGTCATCTCAAGGGTGCCGTCTCCAGGTACTCCGGCAGACCATGGGAACAGGTGGGGTTTGGAGGTGCAGGGAGAAGGAACAGGAGAGGCGGAAGACAGGCCTGGTCCAGTCCCCGACTCCACGATGCAATGGCAGGGTAGAAAGGAGACCCAGGGAGAGAGCCTCTGTCCACCGAGGAGCTTGGTCTTCTCCAGGGGATCTGCCCAGAGGGATGGAGCCCTAGGATACTGAACGTTTTGGAAGCCATTTCTAATTGGGGTTGAACCATTTGCTTAGTTCATGTGCAGAGACTCATCTTTCAGTGGCTGTAGTTTGTCAGCTGTGAATGGGAAATAAAGAGCTGTTTTGCAAAGAGACTGGCTGCTCCTTGTAACAAGTAAGGGGAAACCGCACTCCCAGTGCAAGAGGAGCCGGTGATGATGGTGGTGGGAAGGCAGACTCACTGAAAAAAGGGGAAGAAGGTCTGGGAACAGCCGGGGGTGGCTCAGGGTGCAGAATGCGGATGGGCGGGCTGAGCGAAGGCAGCTCCATCTCTTTCCCTCCACCCTCTACAAATAACGAATTGCTTTCTCCTTGTCCGGCTTGGCCGGAACTTCCTGCTTTTGTGAGGAAGAGGAAAAACCATCAAGCTGGGAGTGTTTTACCTTAACCCGATCCGTCCGGTTGTTGAAAAGACCGATCCGTCTAATGGTGCTGAGGATGGGGTCACTGGAATCATCGATCATGTTGTGGGTTGTCACGGGAGGCAGGCTCTGTCGCTGAAGCAAGACAACACATGTTTAGTGTATCTCTTGCAAACAACGAATAAAGGCCAACTTGTAACCAATAGGGTGCATTCTAAAAAGAGAAGCAGGGTCTTCTCTGTACAAGCACCCCTTGTTAGAGAATTTTCTTCCATGAAAAATTTATTACTTAACTTGGTAGGATTTTTAAGAAATGGGCGAAACTCCTTTTCTATTTCAGCAAGCATTTGGTGAGGTGTGGGTAGAAAGAATGCCATCAATACCTCAATCTTTGATTAGTTATTTATTAGATTTATCTCACGCTTTTTTCTTACAATGAATGCAAAGCAGCTGACATCATCAGTTTTCCCCCACAAAAACAACCCTGCAAGGTAGGCTGGGCTGAGAGTCTGTGCCTGGCTCAAAGTCACCTAATGAGCTCCATGGCTGAGCGGGGACTCGAACGCTCTCAAATCGGCCTTTGAGTGACTTTCACACTGGCCAACCATGACTGGTTGTTTTGGGGAAAATCCCACCCCTCTTTCCATTCACAAATCAACTGTTTCTCCCATGGTGCCACTTCCATTGCACAAGCATCGATTCATGCTGGCACAGCACCATTTCTACTAGTGCCAGGACAACACTGGATGCTTCCCGAAGTCTGGACTCTGGAGCGTACCATGTCAGATTGCAGCTATGGCTTCCTATGACTGAATTGCTTTCCATCCCATGGACCAGTAGAAGAGAACCTATGGCACGTGTGCCACAGTGGACATACAGAGCCCTCTCTGCTGGAATGTGAGCCAAGTAGCCCCAGCATTGCCCCAGCAGCTGAGCACTGGATGACAGCGCACACAGGGGCCATGCGCTGCTCGGAAAGGAGTAGTGGTGCCAGGCGATGACATCACAAGCCGCGACTCGTCCGAGCTTTCGTATGTCTGGTCAGTGCACTGCCAGGGACATAGATATATTTTCTTGGACTGGCTGTGAGTTGTTTTCTCTAAACTAAAACCAGAATTTTCAGGTTTTGGCAGTGTAGGCACTTTGCGAGAAATAAGTGGGTTTTCGGTTGCAGTTTGGACACTTGATGTCTAAAAGGTTCGTCATCACTGGATTAGGGTTAGAAAAGCGAGGGGTCCCGGCATGATTTTGATGGTTGGAGTGTGTTCAGAATGGGCAGAAATGCTGAGCTGTGCAGAGAAAGCTTCTGAAGGAAGGCTTTTTCAAAATCTCATTGTTTTCAAAGGAACCATACCCCTGGATTAGGGTTAGGGGTGTGCACCAAGGTAGGGTTAGGGTTGGAAAAACGAGGTGTCTGGGCATGATTTTGATGGTTGGAATGTGTTTAGAATGGGCAAAAATGATGAGCTGGGCAGAAAAAGCTACTCAAGGAAGGCTTTTTCAAAATCTCATTGTTTTCAAAGGAACATTACTCCTGGATTAGGGTTAGGGGTGTGCACCAGGGTAGGGTTAGGGTTAGAAAAATGAGGTGTCTGGGCATGATTTTGATGGTTGGAATGTGTTTAGAATGGACAGAAATGATGAGCAGTGCAGAAAAAGCTACTCAAGGAAGGCTTTTTCAAAATCTCATTATTTTCAATGGAACTTTACCCCAAAATTAGGGTTAGGGGCATGCACCAGGATAGGGTTAGGGTTAGAAAAATGAGGTGTAATAGCAGGATTTTGATGGTTGGAATGTCTTTAGAATGGGCAGAAATGATGAGCAGTGCAGAAAAAGCTACTCAAGGAAGGCTTTTTCAAAATCTCATTATTTTCAATGGAACTTTACCCCAAAATTAGGGTTAGGGGCATGCACCAGGATAGGGTTAGGGTTAGAAAAATGAGGTGTAATAGCAGGATTTTGATGGTTGGAATGTCTTTAGAATGGGCAGAAATGATGAGCAGTGCAGAAAAAGCTACTCAAAGAAGGCGTTTTCAAAATCTCATTATTTTCAATGGAACATTACCCCTGGATTAGGGTTAGGGGTGTGCACCAAGGTAGGGTTAGGGTTAGAAAAACGAGGTGTCTGGGCATGATTTTGATGGTTGGAATGTGTTTAGAATGGACAGAAATGATGAGCAGTGCAGAAAAGTCTACTCAAGGAAGGCTTTTTGAAAATCGCATTATTTTCAATGGAACTTTACCCCAAAATTAGGGTTAGGGGTGTGCACTAGGGTAGGGTTAGGGTTAGAAAAATGAGGTGTGCTAGCCGGATTTTGATGGTTGGAATGTCTTTAGAATGGGCAGAAATGAGGAGCTGTGCACAGGGCTTTTTTTGTCATAAAACACAGCGGAACAGCGTTGCAGCACCTGTTTTTCCAATGGATTTTTTGAAGTGATTTTGCATCGTAGCAGATCAGCAGCAAACATCAGGAACATAGTGCCTGCAGGCTGCTTTTGTGTCTCCTATCTGATAGTGAGATAGTGGAGGCGCTGCTCTCAGCTTGGGACGCTGCTCCGCTGCTTGGCTTGGGATTGGCGTGTGCGGTCGCGCACTTTCTGCCGGCGACGTGGATTCCAGCACCTTTTTTTTTTTACAAAAAAGCACTGGCTGTGCCGAAAAAGCTACAAAACCTCCACTTTCAGTGGTATTTTACCCCTTTATTAGGGTTAGGGGAGTGAACCATGGTAGGGTTAGGCCAGTGGTGGCGAACCTATGGTACAGGAGGCGCAGCGGGTACTCAGAGCACTCTTTTGTAGCATGCAAGCCAAGTTCCCCCAGCATCTCCCCAGCCGCTGAACATCAGATAACAGCACACACAGGGGCATGTGCATGCTCGGAAAGAGTCCCAGTGCCAGGCGATGATGTCCCTAGCCGCGATTCAGTAGCTGCAACTCGTCCGAGCTTTCACATATCCAGTGAGTTTGCTGTCAAGGATAGATAGATACAGGTAGATATGCTTGGACTGGCTGTGAGTTGCTTTTTCTAAACTAAAACCTGTTTCAGGTTTTATTGTAGTGTTGGCACTTTACGATAAATAAGTGTGTTTTGGGTTGCAGCTTGGGCACTCGGTCTCTAAAAGGTTTGTCATCACTGCCCTAGACATATAAAAGGACAGAAATAAATTGGCACTTGCACCCAGAAAACTTGCTGCCAGAACACTTTCCCATGACACACAGTTTTTTTGCCTGGAAATAATATTTTTATGGCAGAACCTATTCCTCTCCTTCCCAATGATACAGCTGAATTATAGGTTTACTGCACTGTACAGAACTAGACCAGTAAAAAGAGAAAAGAGAGAGAGAGAGAGAGGGAGGGAGGGAGGGGAGGGGAGGGGCGACAGACACTCTTTACTCTAACCTGGGTTGAATATATGGCTCGTTTCATGATGGTCAGATCGTCACGATCCAGGATCTTGTTCATATCGGGAATTTCTCCTCTGAGAAGGCAAGATGGAAAATCTTTTAATGAAAAGGAAGATGTTTCCTAAGGTCAATTTTATCTTTCACATTGATGCCTGGCCAGTATCACTAGGACAAACCAGACCATTCTATGCCTGACTTTGCCAAGGAAACCCCCCTGAGTTAAACGGCGCTTCCCTTCAAGTAAGTGTGTCAGCTCACTGCATTTAAGGAAGCTTTAATGTGCAACTGCCCTGCAGCTTTCATGGGATTTTACAGGATGTCCGGACAACTTCTCCGGTTTGTGACGCACACATTTTCATGGGGCACAGAATGGGAAGCTGCCGGACGATCGTATCACCACCATCACATTTACATCAGCCTTCTTTCCTCTTCTGAGGAACCCAAAGCAGCTTCCCTAGTCTCCCTCCACTCCATTTCATCCACTGTCGTGCATAACGATCTCGCCAGGGGAAGTCGAAGACAGGAGAGATAAAGGAAGCCCGGCCATGAGACGGATCGATTCCGTGAAGGAAGCCGCAGCCTGGAGTTGCAGGAGCTGAGCAGGGCTGCCGGGGACGGGAGATCTTGGGGGCCCCCCATCGGTAGGGTTGCCATTGCTCGGAGATGACTTGGGGGCACATCAGAGCAGCAACAAGCAAGCGAGGAAGCAAATGGCGCTTCCTGCAGACTGTGTGCAATGATTACCACGCTCGGTGCTGGTTCCCTGTAGAACACACACACTCTGCACCCACGGAAAGCTAAGCAAGCTGCTTCCAACCGGCAGGACAAACTGCTGCGTTGCTCGGGGCCAGTCGAGCAGGTTTTGCCGACTAAGGTGAAGGGCAAGATGATTCTATGCACAGAATTTGACTGGGCTCGCTGCTGCATTGTCCTGTGCCACTTGTGCAGGGACAGCATCTTCCACGCAACTGAGGGCAGCAAAGAAGCTTGTGCGATGCAGGGCAGGCGTGTGGCTCACACACCTCTGTCGTTCACACCCACCCCCCGCCGGGCCAGCCCTGGTGCAGCGCCCCCATTTCTGCAAGGAAGCACCCTCTGCTTAGGAAGCACCTTAGAAGCATCTTCCAGGAAGGAGCATTCCCCAGAATACACCCCATAGAGGGGACTCTGGATCTGGAAGGTGATAAAATACTCATCAGCGTGCCCCTCAGCTTTCCTCCAGCTGGGGCCCTCCATATGTTCTGGACCAATTCCCATCAGCCCCATCCAAGCATGACCAATGCTCAGCAGTGCTGTAGTCCAAAACACCTGGAACACCAGGTTGTGGGAGGCCATTCTGGAATGCAGTGGAAGAAATGGGACAGTCACCTTAATAGAGCGTCATAGAGCTTCTTGCCAAACTTCTCCGTCACAGAATGTGCAGTGTCCCTAAGAGGCAGCAAAACAAATCGTCAATGTTTCCACGTGGCTTGCTCAGCTCATCCTTTCTCTGTTATTTACTCTGATTATGTCCCCAGATGGTGAGATATGATCTGGAGAATGCAACCTGGATTTGCCTTCCATTAGAAGGAGACAGTGCAGGAGATACATTTTATTTTTTATTTATTAGATTTCTACCCCACCTTTTTTCTTACAGTGAGCTCAGAGTGGCTTATTTTATTCTCCTCCTGCTGCCCTCAATCTTATCTCAACAACAACAACCCTATGAGGTAGGTCAGGCTGAGAGTCTGTGACTGGCCTAAGGGCACGCCATTGGCTCCACGGCTGAGCAAGGACTAGAACCCAGATCACGAGTCCCAGTCCTGTGCTCTTAACCGCTGCACCAGAATGGTTCTCACAGTTATGTTGCAGATAACTCTGGCTCAAAATTCAGACTTCATGAGAATCAGTTTTTTCAAAATTCTAGTCCTCATGGCACTATTATATGGTACTTTCAGCTTCGGCTGATCCATCAGCCGCGCCCCTACCTGGAGAACAACTGCCTGGTGACAGTGACACACACGTTGGTGACTTCCCGACTTGACTTCTGTAACACGCTCTACGTGAGGCTGCCCTTGGAGACAGTCCGGATACTTCAATTGGCTCAAAATAGAGCTGCCAGGCTGCTGACGGGGACTGGGAGTTATGTTCACATGACTCCAGTCCTCCATCAGCTTCACTGGCTTCCCATTGAAGTCCGGGCCCAATTCAAGGTGTTGGTGATGACCTTTAAGGCCCGAAATGGCTTGGGTCCTGGTTACCTGAAGGAGCACTTACATCCATATATGCCCGGCCGCCCCCTGAAATCTGCAGGAGAGGCCCTTCTCCGGGAACCCTCCGTGAAGGAAATTAGGAGGGTGGGTACTCGGAGGAGGGCATTCTCTGCGGTGGCGCCCAATCTATGGAATGCGCTCCCCAGAGAGGTCCGCCTGGCACCGTCGTTATTTGTTTTTTGGCGCCTTTTTATTCATACGTTATTTTAATTGTTAATATTATTTATTTATTTTATTATTTGGCCAAGGCAACTTAAATTTTACTGTTATACTGCTAAATTATATTGTTTTATATTATGTTATTTATTTATGATTGTGTGCCGCCCCGAGGCTTCGGCAAATGGGGCGGCATAGAAGTCCTCTAAATACACACACACACACACACACACACACACACACACTTTTATAACATTTGGTGTATTACCAAATGTATATCAGATACAGGAAGACAGGACAAGCCCTCCTAACAGCCTACAGATCCATGGCTATGCATTAGATTCCCCCAAAAGGCAACCCAAGACCCTTTCATTTTTTAGGGTTGCCCTCCCATTCCCTGCAAATTGGAAGACAGAGAACATAACCACCCTCTAACTAAGCTGTGTGAAAGGAAATATATTCATTCATTCAATCAATCAATCAATTTCTAAACCACTCAATAACCAACAACTCTCTGGATGGTTCAGTTTGTGTTTCAGTTTGCATAAAAACATGAACAGAATGAATTTCTCTCCCATTCCAACAGTTAAGCACAGAATCTGTCCATTTCTCCCCATCTAGATGGAGGACATGAGGAGAAATATAGTCCCTCACACTTCAAGCCATTCTAGGTCTTACCAGAATAGCATGGCAGAATTTTGGACTGTCCCACTTCAGAACTTGGAAGGGTAAGAAACCAGGTTTTGCATGTTCTGCCACGTTTGAGCAAACACAAAAGTCCCCGCATAATAAACTAACCCATCAAAGAAAGAAAAAACAAGGCCCTCATCCTGATGAGACAGCTGACTGCATGCAAGGAGCTTTTCGTGGTGGAGGATGTCAAAAATGTGGCCTTCCCACCTGAAGTCTGAGCTGGCACAGTCTGAGATGTGGACCAGACCTTCCTTTTCCATTGCTTATGTGAAAACCTTCCAGCCTGATCTCTTCCCAGAAACAAAGCTTTCACCACTTGCAAAGAGAAAGGAAGAAGCTTACCAGAGCTGCTTTCGGACTGCCTGGCCTTTCAAAGTTTCCACGTTGAAATTGTTGGTGTGTGCTGGCATTATGAAGAACACGATGACCGTGATGTCACTCCTGTGGACCTGGAAGATGACAAGGAAGGGAATCAGAACTAAAACTAAATATTAGAATGCCCTGATACAGAACGATGGTGCAATTCGACGTGGATTACCGTGCACAGTTCTGATCAGCGCACACTGAAAAGGATAGCGTTGATCTGGAAAAGTGCAGAAAAGGGTAACTGAGATGATCAAGAGGCAGAAGCAATTCACAGGTGAGGGGATATTGGGAGGCCCATGACGGTTTAGCTTATGGGGAGACAAGCAAAGAGGGGATGTGATGGAGATGCATGACGATGTACAAACTGCAGCAAGGAGATAAGAGATTTCTCTCTCCCTCTTTCATAATCCTGGAACCTGTAGCTGGTACATCAATAAACTGTGAAACGAGCTACCTCATGAGGGAGTGAAGGTCACCCATCTAGGGACTTCATCAAGGGGTGAGACAAGTTCATTGAGGATCAGGCTGCTGGGCTTGAGGGTGCTTTATTGTTTTCGGTCTCAGAGGCTGTACACCTCTGTAAAGCATTTCCTGGAGAGCATGAACAGGAGAGCGCATTTGTGAGTATCTTCCGCTCATGAGCTTCTCAGGGACATTTGCTTGACCATGGCAGGAACAGAATCCTGGACTACAGGTCTTTCGCCTGATCCTGCAGGGCTTTTCTTATGTTTTTCGGAGTGACTCAGAGAGCTTCATACAGAGATAGATTTGTTCTTACCCTCAGTAGGAAGTTTAATCTAGATAAGGCCTCCAGAAACATGTCAGCCCCTTTGTTCGAAAACTCGTATCTCCCCGCGATGAAGAAAAACAAGGTCCTTTCAAGGTTGAAATCAAGATGGCTGAAAGCAGAGCAAACAAGCGTCAAGGTGGAGTTAATCAAACAGCACAGGCTTTAGACCATGACAAGTGAAGGTCACCAATGTATAGCTACAAGCTGGAGTGAATTTTGAAATCCTGGTGCTGTGAGGCCAACAGACCACCTGCTTCCTCCATGGGCCACAGATGGTACAAGAGCGAAAGAAGATGCCCACAAGGCATAGAAGTTTTCCTCAGTTCACGCAGGCCTCATCAGAGAAAAGGCTTGTCACTCCACGGATTCCACTGAAGACTGCTTCAAACATTCTACTAAGCCAGGGTGGACAACGAAAACTGGTCACAAAAGGTTTCCTTTTCCCACCCCATGGGAATTTCCCAAATTCCCCAGAGACCCCCGGCCAGGATGAAGGGCCAGGTGGGCAGAGAGGATTACAGAAGGAGTGCAGGTCCCTGGGCCAGATGGGGAAGGTCCAAGGGCTGGAATGATCCTGCAGACCAGCATTTGGCTAGCCAAAATCTAAGTGTTCGGTGGCAAATTCTGCTTTGGAAATCCAGGTGCAGCGACTCCCCTGCAAAGGAAGGGGACTGGTATTCTTTGCAGGGCTGAAGCAATAGACTCAGGAATCATTCGTCTGCTTTTCATTTCCCCTGAAAGCCTCTGCCCTGTCTCACATATACACTCTTGCAAGAGGGGAAAAGAGGCCCGAGAAGTGGCAGAAGACAGAGGGCGGTGGGATGGTTGAACCAGTGCCAGGACCCTCTCTTCTTTCCCCCTGCAAACTATGTGTCTATATTAATCCCAGACAGATTGGTTTTGCACTGCATTTTTACAAATTGTGCTGACTTTTAATGTACTTTTATACTTTCTTCTACTGTGTTTTCAGAGTTTTGCACATTGTACTTTTTAATTCTATTTTAAAATTGCAAGATGCTTAGAGGATTAGTTCAATGGACACCTTATAAATATAATCAATGAGCTAAAAATACATATGTTTGTTTGTGGCAAACAAGGGGTAAAATAATTGGAAACAGCTCAGCTTCTTTGCTAAGAATCTGGAAGTCTACCTGCAGTCCTATTTTCTAAGGCAGCTATTCTATTTCATGTTAGAACTGAAATGTATGGTATTAGGTGCAGGATGCAACCTTAGGAGCAGACAGAGAAAGTTGCTACTCAGACAGAGACAGAGAAAGACAGAGAAAGTTGCTACTCAGTTCTTTAGTTCTGGGCCTCCAACATGGACCTCAACATGTTAATTAGCATCTTTAAGTGGGAAGCTGGTATGCTGCTTTACATATGTATTTATTAGCCCTAAGGTCTGCAACATGGTGTACCAGTGCACCCCCAGACATGTCTCTTGGGGAGCCCCAGGTTTGTTGAATTAATTTTTTTTTGAGTGGGTTACCAACATGCTGCAAAGCAAAGTTCTCCAGTACCTGGGTTCCAAAAGAGTGTTTCTGAACGTTGGAGCTCAGGCCTTATTCTTATGTTCTTTAAAAAAGTGATTTTCCTTTCAGGGCTTCTCTGCATAAAAGGTTTAACCTGTTGCTGTAAGGAAGCTTCTTTTTCCATTTTCATAGCAGAGGAAAAATCCATCCTATGCAGGGGGCTTTTCCCAAGGTTTTGTAGGTCCCTGCCTCTGCGCATTCTGTTAACCAACCAGAAGGTGGCAGTGTGGCACAGAAGCACTGTAGCGGATTCTCCCCATTCCACGAACCTTTTACTCTGGTTTGTCACAATTTAAAATTTAACACCAGATTTTCCTTGTTATAAAGGCTAGAAAACTTGGGAAAGGCCCTGGAAGACAACGATGTCATGAAAGGCCCCATAAACCTCCATGGGATCACAAGCTCATAAGAAACACCAGAGAAGCCCCTCATCTCGCTGGTTTGCCTTCTGGGAAATTAAGAAAATATTGCCTTTGTACCAGTCGTGCTTCTAATGGAAGCCAGTTTACAAATGGACAACCCTTATTCACCCATGGTGGGCACTTTATGAGACTGCTCATGACAGACTCCCAAAATTCCAGATGTGCCCACTGACTCCAAATTGTTTGATGGACTCCAGCTCTTTACATGATCCATAGTGCTACCCTGGTCCAGATATAAGGATTTTAAAAATCAATTGATGGTAGTCTTCACAGCAAGGCTATTTCCACACATGGAAGGAAGCTGGAATTTTGCACTAAGTGTTGGGGTCTTTTATATAAAAACACCCCCAAATTGTGAAGCAACCCACCCATCCCTTTGACCAGGAGAGCTTACCCATAGAAATGGCCCCGAACGAACTCTTGGATCCTTGATTTGCAGGTGGCATGCAAATTCTGGAACTCATGCATGGCCGAGAATTTCTTAATGTTCAGACCGTTGGGGGTGACAACATCTGGAAAAAGCAGAGGGAAGGGAGGTTAAAAGCTCCCTTTTAAGTAGCTTAAAAGATCTCAAGGCAAAAGAAAGAGGCAGGCTGCCTGCATTTCACATCATGCCCAGCTCGGAGGGAGAGGGGGAAGGAGGAAGGACAGAATTCTGGCATTTGTATCTCAGTGCAGTTCTTCTGACCCTCCAGTTCAGTCTCTGGCATCTGCAGGCAGGGGCTAGGAAACCCTGCAGGGTTGCTGCCAGTCAGTGTCCAGAACACTTAGTTAGGTGGGCCCAGGGAGCTTCCTATATTCCTATGCTGGATCTTGGGTCTTCCGACCACAAAACCACGCAGACACAGGAGGGAGAAATTATCCCATACATCACATGTTTAATCCTGAACATGTTACAGTTTGGATGAGAATCAGAAGTCATTATAGCCGTGGGAATTGCAGGCAATCTACATTTGTGGATTGGACTGAGTAATTACCAATATTAGCAGTAGTGTTACTAATCTGGTTCAATGAATGTTTTGGTAAAAAAGGATGTGATCCTCTTCGTGAGTTTCCAAGAGCTGAGATGAGCTGTCAGGGACAGAACATTTTGGAGAGGATTCTTGCATGGGGCACCCGAAATTGAAGACAACTTGATAGCACAGAAACAACAAAATCCTATCCATGTTTAGAGAGAAATGATCCCTAAGTTCTCAGCATGTCCGTTCCAGACATCGTAGTTGGCAGGGCCATGTTAGGACTTCTCTTGGCAAACAATGCATAGGATTGTGCCTTCAGAGAATGCTGAGCATAGGGGGACTCTTCCAAGATAGCCTTCAGTTTTAGAGGGATGGGCTGTAAAGAGCAGGATGGGGACCGATCCTGGAACCAAATCCTGGGCGATGGTTTTGCTCTCGTGGTTGCCTCTTTCTGGGGTCTGCCAGCACTGAACTAGGCTGGAGTAACGACTCCCAAAACAAGGTGGCTGTCAGTCTACAGGAACCACTACAGTGCTCTCTGCGAGCAAAGTTTGGCCTGTCTGCAAATTGTAAGTGGGCTGTTTTGATCGCCATGCCCTTGGGTAGATTGCAAGCTTAATTATCTACTCTGGCAAAGATCATTGACCATTTTTGAGCAATAGGCAAATTTCACAATTTGGCAGCTGACCGGGAGCACTGCGTATCCCTAACATTGGGCCCCTTCGCAAGACTGCAGGATTCGAAGAAGGGCAGAGCCAATCTTAACAATGGTTTTAGGTGGTTAATCAGTGTGGCCCAGTTCTAATTGATGTGGGGCAGCAGAGGTCAGGTTAGCGGGTGACCCACGAGGACTGATGCCCCACATCTTTCATTTGCAGACGTGACTCTTTAGGAGACCATCTGTCCCACCGGCCTGCTCCCATGGGCACTTGCCGGAATAAAGGTATGGGGTCCGGATGTTTTCTGCCATATTTGATTCCCCTATTTGCACACAAGTCCTCCAAATTCTGCTGCTGCCCCCAAATCTTTCTTCTTGAGGATTTTTCTGAAATCCGGCACCATCCCCTGCCCTGTTATCACATCTCTTTTTGCAAATGAACATGTCCTTACCAAGCACAGTCCACAGACACACTTTTGAGCATATGTAAATGCGCATGTGCTCATTTTCCAGTCCTTGTTCTGTGGGGCTACTGCTTCTTGGAGAACTTTAAGTGGTGCAGCTGAAATTTAGCCCACCAGATCTCTAGGGAAATGTTAAAATTGCCAAGGAAGGCCCTGGCAATTATAGGCAGCCTATAAATACATGTATAAATAAATAAATCTACCCTATTATTATAATGCCAAACATTCCAGCTTCCATAAGAATGCAATCTTATTTAAGCTTATTATTATTATTATTATTATTATTATTATTATTATTATTATTATTATTATATTTCTATGCCGCCCCTTGCCGAAACCTCGGGGTGGCTTACAACACAATAAAATACATTGAAATACAATAGAACATAATAAATTACCATTAAATACAAAAATACAAAAAATACACTGAGTTACAAATATAAAATTAAAATTATCAGTATAAAATAAGTAAATAAAAGTATAGGAGGAGAAAGAGAAGGAAGAAGAAGTTTCCCTGGCCAAATCATATGTTTTAACAATTAAAATGATGTTTAAATAAAAAGGTCTTTACCTGGCGCCGAAAAACCAGTAACGACGGTGCCAGGCGGACCTCTTTGGGGAGTGAATTCCATAGGTTGGGCGCCACTGCAGAGAAAGCCCTCCTCCAAGTACCTACCCTCCTAATTTCCTTCACGGAGGGTTCCCGGAGAAGGGCCTCTCCCACAGATCTCAGGGGACGGGCGAGCGTATATGGACGTAAGCGCTCCTTCAGGTAACCAGGACCCAAGCCGTTTAGGGCTTTATAGGTCATCACCAACACCTTGAATTGGGCCCAGACTTCAATGGGAAGCCAGTGAAGCTGACGGAGGACTGGAGTCATGTGAGCATAACGCCCCGTCCCTGTCAGCACCCTGGCAGCTCTATTTTGCACCAATTGAAGTGTTCGGACTGTCTTCAGGGGAAGCCCCACGTAAAGCTTTCCTCTACCTTTTAGGCAATGTCCCTGAATATGTGGACTTAACCATATCAAACGAGTTGCATTCTTTAGCTTTCCTAGGCATTGATCACTTCATCCCTTTCCTGCAGGAGTTACCAACATGCGGCCCCTCCAAGCCCTCTTTCGGCCCCCACCGCCCTGCTGCTGGCCATTTTGAGAATGGCAGCAAATCAAAAAGATGCCCTGACCTTTCTCAATCTTTCCTGCTCTTATTGGGGTATTAATTGCCATTTGGCAAGCCTGAGGCAACATATCCTTGCCGATCTTACCGGCTGCTCTTTTGAGCATGTGTTCCGCTTCTATGGCTGTTATGTGAGAGACCGTGGTGAACACGTGGGCACAGTGTACCGATGCCCGTTCCATGCAGTACCGGTGGTATATCTGCCTTTCGCCTGCTTCTTTATCTATGTCAAACTGTTAAATGGCAGAAAAGAAGGGAGGGAGGGAGGGAGGAAAAAGACGTTATTTGATAAAGATTTTTCAAATAGTACCCACGGTGTGGAGAAAGTGGAGAAGGAAACATTTTCTCTCTCTCTCCCATCACATTGGAACCCAAAGGGCTCAACCCGTGAAGCTGATTGGTGGGCGGTTCAGGACAGATCAAAGCAAGGACTTCTTCACACATGTAGAGTTAAACTGTGGCATTTGCTGCCACAGGAAGTGGTGATGGCTGCCAATTTGGATGGCCTTAAAAGGAGCTTGGACAGATGCAGGAGAAAGGAGGCTATCCGTGGCTACCTTCACCAGAGGGGGCTCGCCTACATGCACCCATTGCTGAGGAGCTTGGGCAGGGGGAGGTCTTGCACCCAACCTGCTGGAGGGATCCTGTGGGCAGCTGGTTGGCCACCGTGTGTACCGAGTGAGGGACCTGTGGTCTGATTCAGCAGGACTTGACTTATGTTCTTAGGTTCTGATGTACCTATGTATTTATTCTCTCTCTCTCTCCCACACACACACACACCACTCACAAGCAATCTCCCAGTCCCGTTCAATGATTTTTATGAGAATGGCAGTGATGTTATCTCCTCTTTTTTAATACGATTTTTTCCTCTGTTGGTTTTCAAACTTTATTCATATTCTTAAGCCCCACTCGTGATGATGAGGCTGGGAACTTAGAGCTGCAGGGACCCCCGAGTCCTCCAGATCCGCAACACACAGGCTGAATTCTGTAGGACACGTAGAAAGAAATATCCAGGGTCCGGTGGGGAAATGGTGATTCAGCAGCAATGCATGCAAAAAAAGGAAAATGGATTTTTAGACCTGACTTGTTTAGGTTTGCAGCACCAAAAGGCCCGCTTTGCAGCCCCGGTTGTATCAGCACCATGGCAGGTGCACAGCTCTTGCTGCTTCAGAGGGAGAGGCCAGCTCTCCTGGGATGGCGCCCCAGCTCACCTACTCTCTGCCACAGAGCCAGTGACTCACCTTGACACTGGCAGATCCCTCAATGTGACAAGCCGTGTCCCTGGCACAACTTCCCCTGTCTACTGCCTTTCCCAACCAGGGTTCCTTCCTGACTGTAGACTGGAGATCCTATTCCGGTCTCACACTGCAAAGTCAGCAGTCTCAACGTCCATTTATTCCCTTCCTCTGCCAAGAATTAGGATGACTTTCCAGCCCTCTGGGAGTTTGTGCTATGGTTTTACTGATAACGCAATACTGTATCCCGGCCCTGTGTTTTTCTGGGTGGGCAATATGTGTGTTTTAGGAGCTCTTCCAAGGAAAACATCTGACAAGAAGCAGTGCCCACAGCTGAAGCAATACCCTCAACATCCAGTATTATTGCATTGTCTTAATTACATTTATTAATTACATCATAACAGCTACAGTGCTCTGAACCAAAATAAAACCAGTGTAAAAGCCAACAGTTGCATGGAGATGTAGCAACTCAGTGTAAGTTTTTTTAAAATGTAAGACAATAAAATCAAATGCCCTAATACTACCCTTCGAAAGCAAAACCGAAGGTCTAAAAGGCCTGGGACAGGGCTGGGAAAATGGTCCTTACCTAGCAAAGCAAGTACCATGAAAGTGACTCTATCAGGGGAGAGAATTCCACAACCAATGTGCCACCACTAAAAAGACCTTTCCTTAGCAGTCACTTGCAGTGATGTATTTACTGCAAGCACCCAGATGAGTATCTTTGATAAGATCCCCTGGACAAACCCAAAGTTACTGAGTACCCGAAGGTGTTTAACATTCAGAAATGAGGTCAAATGAGCTTGGGCAAGTCTACCAGGTGGGCACAGAAAGTTCAAAAGGAGCAGGAAGGGAGCAAAGAGGATCAGATGCCACCCAAATGGGTCCAGTGAAGTGCTTGATTAAAAGTTCAAATGGTCACCACCGTTTCCCACATGCAAAAGCCAACTCTACAAAGTTCAGTTTAACCAAATTCTTAACTCTAATTAGGTGCCAATGATTACAGTTGAGTTGCAATCCTCTTAGTCTTAAATGATCTTTAACTGCTGAGAAACCAAGGTGGTTTTCTTCAAAGTCAAGGTCGGGGAGGTGTTCCATCAGTCCATTACTCTTTATTTTATTTTTTTATTTTATTTTATTAAAACATTTCTATGCCACCCCTTGCCAAGGCCTCGGGGCGGCTTACAACATCAAATACAAAATACATTAAAACAATAACAATTAAAATATATACAGTAAAATAAAATAAGCCGCCCTGGCCGAATAAAATTCAATAATATTAACATTTAAAATGCTGCTTAAATAAAAAGGTCTTCGCCTGGCGCCGAAAAACAAATAACGACGGCGCCAGGCGGACCTCTCTGGGGAGCGCATACCATAACTTAGGCGCCACCGCTGAGAAAGCCCTCCTCCGAGTAGCCACCCTCCTAATTTCCTTCACTGAGGGCTCTCTTGTGTCTGCTGCATTTTAATAACTACTCTGAACAGCAGTGTCTGAAAAGTTCCTCATATTTTCCAGTGCCAGCCATATTTCGCTTTTCTCTTGTAACACTAATGTTGAGTCAGTTCATTGGTTAAAGCTGCAGGTCCACGAACGTTTAGACAGAAAAATATCCCTTCGGAGCTGAGTGGAGTGGGAGCTGTAGGTCTTTTTTCTGTCTAAATTTGCATAGGGTTGCACCTACAACCATAACAACAGACTTCATCAGTCAGAACTGTGCTCCTGAGTAAACCAAAAAGCAGCTTTAAAAAACTATTTTAAAAGCAGAGCTTCCAGAAGCAGAGATAGGTGTCGTCTTAGGAAAAAGTCCCTGCTTTCTATACGGATTTCAGAGAGAGCCATTTCAGGCTTCTAAGGGACTGAAAATACGCAAGTGTCACCAAAGTTACGCTTTCTAGGCGAACTGTTCAGCTGTAAATGTGGATTGGTCTTGTCATACGTGAGATGTTTGATCTAACCTTCTTAAGGCCTTAAGATCCAACCCTCTTAAGAATGTGCTTTTGGTAGGAAGACCCATTTGAAGCAAACAAGGATGTGCAGATGGTGTTTCCTTCATCCCTAAGTAACCAGAGGAGGAATCTACCCAGCTGAGGTGGCTTCCAGATGGAAGACGGAATTTGCCTCACTCTTCCCCACAGCCATTCAGCCTGTGATCGCCCCGACCTGGCTTGCTTCGGCCAATGGTGAAGTTCTGCTCTCCACCATTTTCCAAAGCCAGGGTGCCCAGTGACCTCCTCAAAGGGTGCTGGCAGCATCCTTGGTTCAGGGCATCTCTTTCCTTGAGCTAAGAACCCCTGCTCCTCTGTTCCCCACGGCTGCTCCTGTGGAGGAAAGCTAAGGAGAAGAGGGTGCAGCTTGAAGGAAAGCGGGTGGACAGCTGTTCTCCCAACGTGGTGAAGCCCACAAGAGGAGAGCACCTTCAGACCAGCTTCTGGAGACCATGCGGCCTCCTGGTTGTAGATGGAGGTGGGGAATGGGGGAATTCACTCTTCCTCCCCTTCACCACCTGATCTGAGAACCTCAGTTTCCTGTACTGGGTGGTCGGCAATGCCTGGTGGTGCCGGAGCGCTGTGGACGACTCAAGGCCGATGTGCCACCCAAGGGCCAGACGCTTCTTCTGGGCATACTTGTGCGGCAATAGACACCTTCTTAATCCTATTTAACGGTGAGAAACGGATCACCGGTTATAGCTCTGACACATCTATCTCCGTCTATTATTTGCCTTCCCCATGAATTCCGGCTGGCTGGGTGACCCTTCGCCAAGGCTGCACATGAGAGCTGCCCTTTGACTTTGCTTTGCAAGGCTGTGGGAGAAATCGCATTGTCTTCTCTTGGCAGCCCGGCCTGCTTGCTCAGGTCCTAAGAGCCTTAAGCCGAGTTGAAGGCCAGGTTGAGTGGAATTTATCTGATCAGACTGTACAATGGGGTGGACTTTTAGGTTGGTACACCATGGTTTGCTGGCAGCCTGTGCTAACAGGAACCTACAACTGGATTGTTTTATTCTAGAAAAAAGTTTTTTATGTAGATAAAAGGCATGCAAGGCTGGGCTTTGAATTCCCTTCCTTCCGTCCTTTCCTTCCGTCCTTCCTTCCTTCCTCCCTTATTTAAAAAATTTGTAGGCCGTCCATTACTGTCATCTCTGAACGGCTTACAACATTATTTCAGTCTTCAGTAAAATAAAATAAGTTAACTATTCCACCCTGAGCATTATTTAAAATAAATTAAATAAGTCATTACACAATTAAAATTACTATGTATTAAAATATTGGCCAAATAAAAAGGTATTGACCTGGCGCTGAAAAACATATAATGATGGTGCCAGGCGGACCTCTCTAGGGAGCACATTCCATAGTTGGGGCGCCACCGCAGAGAAGGCCCTCCTCCGAGTACTCTGTCTCCTGACCTCTTTCAAAGAGGGTTCCCAGAGGAGGGCCTCTGCTGCCGATCCTAGGATGTTCAACTAATGAATTCTGAATCTTTCCATCAGATATGCTGTTGTAACATTACAGGGAAGAGTCATTGCTACTGTTGGTATTTTCTATGCTAAAACCAAACACAGTTAAATTGAATTAATAGGTCTGCAAAATGGCTAATAGAAGGAAGTGCTTTTCATCATTCTGACTGGATAGAATGGAACTAGGGAGAGCCAGTGTGGTGTACTGGTTAAGAGTGAGGGACTGGGACTCAGGTGATCCGGGTTCTAGTCCTTGCTCGGCCATGGAGCCACCTGGGTGACTCTGGGCCAGGCACAGACTCTCAGACCAGCCTACCTCACAGGGTTGTTGTTCTGGGGATAAGATTGAGAGGAAAAGATGTAAGCTGCTTTGAGTTCTTTAAAAAGAAAAAAGGTGGGATACAAATCTAAGAAATAAATAACTCTCTGAACTTTACTTGTCAAGGTGGTAAAGTTCAAGAATTATCAGGAAAAGAGGGAGAATGAGTCCAATCTGAATCAACATTGGGTGAGTTTATCCAAAGTTAAACTCAATGTTTTCTTCTT